CACAGTGTGATAGTTTTATCTGATGAGATTTATGGCTGCTTGAATTTCTCGGGAAACCACTGCTCGCTGGCCAAGTTTTACCCAGAAGGCACAATACTGAGCTCAGGGCTTTCAAAATGGGCAAGCGCTGGAGGGTGGCGTCTAGGTTATCACATCTACCCACCAGTGTTAAGATCTTTATTAGATGCTGTTAAAAGTGCTGCAAGCCATACCTATTCATGTGCATCTGCACCCATACAATATGCTGCTGTTTCTTATTTGAGAGTCAATGATGAGACAAAAGCTTATATTTCCCATCTACGCCGCATTTTGGCAGCTGTAGGAAGCTACTGTCATCATCACCTTACAGAAGTTGGTGTCAAGGCTGTAAAACCAAGTGGCGGGTTCTACATGTTCCCTGATTTTGAGGTAGTCAGATGTGCCTTGGCCAAGCGTGGAATAACCACTGCTCAGCAGATGTGTGACACAGTTTTTGAGGAGGTGGCTGTTGCACTAATGCCTGGAGGTCCGTCCTTTCTTAGACCAGTAGAAGAGCTGACTGTGCGGTTATGTTTTGTCAACTTTGACGGAAGTGTTGCATTAAAGGCCAGTGAGGCCTGTGGTCTTAAAAAGCCACTTCCAGATGATTTTGTGGAGAAATATTGTGAGCTCACAGCAAGTGGAATACAAGCACTGAAAAACTGGGTGCTTTGCCAGAAGTCCAGTGTGTCTCACAGTTAGATACAACATGTTGACAAATTACTGTTAGGAATTTTTTGGGATGAATAATTCCATAGTTACTTACTCAATATTGTCAGGTATAACATAGTATGGCTATGCAGCATTTATGTAACTGATCAATGTCATAATAGTAGCCTGCACCACAGACAGAACTTACGTAAGTTCTGGTTAAGTCCATCTTCGAAAATCCGCCAAAATCCTTAATCGGAGCCCCCACCTGTGTACCAGGATTTGAGTATGTGCCATGATTGGTCTGTCAAGAATGCCGCTGTCAATTTGCCAATAAGTTTGAAGTGAATTCCAGTGATTTGTCTAGTTCATTGGTGGCCCTGAACAAGGGCGTTGCTTTGTAGATGCTACTATCTGGGGTTAGATTATGCTTGCTACGAAGGCTGTGTCATTGCAAGTTGTTATTTTTTTTGTCTTCTGAATGAGAAAAGCTGTTTGTTACTTCTTTTAGTGTGGTCATGTCATGAAAAGAGATGATCAAATTTGGTAGCTATGAAGAAGTCTTTTCATTCTGTGGGGATTGGGAGTAACACTTGTCCATTAAACACTGATCACTTAAAAGCTGATTCATAATGTGAAAGCATTCTCAGAGTGAAGTGTCTCTGAGCTGTAAAAAGGAAATTGCACAGTTAAAAGAGAATCTAGTCAGTTTGAAACCATATACATACTTTATAATGTTTGTGAAGAGGTCAATAAAATAGAATGGGAGCAGTCTAGCGCAGGCTGAGGTGGCCCTTTACAAATTAGTAAATTATTCAAAATGAATATAACTAGCTACAAAATATTTGGCAACAGTTATCTATAAAATTAGAGGTGACTTTGAAGACTGTGCAACTAACAATTTTCAAAAATTCCAGTAATTGCAGTCTGTTTAAATTTTCCGCAATCTTGCCCATTCTCTCCATCTTTTGTATTTGTTTTGTTATTTATAACCCTCTCTATTTCTTTATATTTACCTTAAAATTCTATGTTTTGCTCCCAGTGACTAAATTATGCAAATAAAGGTTAAATTATGCAATAAAGGTCAATAAATAATAGTCTGCTTTTACCACTTTATCCCTGGTTTGCAGATTAATGACTTACTTGAAGTGCCCTCTAAAAGGTATGGGTCAAAAAAATATTTTTTTAGTGGTTTAATCTAGCACTCTTGTGAATGTAGAATTCCTCCCTCTGTTCAGACCTGCAGATAATTAGACAAAATAGTTTGAATCATGAAAACTGGTATTTTGACCTGCACTTGTAAACAAAATTAGGAAATCACGATTTGTTTTCCCACGATAAGCACATAGGGTTCTTAAGAACTTGTTTAAACCTGTCCATGCACTTACCCTGCAGCACAGCAGAGGAAGACCTCTTCAGCATGTATGTTTTGTTTTCCCAATACAGGTCATGTGATAGGTCTAATACTCTACAGAACTGGTTCTTTCAAATTTCGTTTTATTTATGTGCATATGCATGTATGCATAATTTATGAAAAGACAAAGGGTCAAGTTCCCCTGGGATCTCTGTTGTGAAAATAAGACATGCAAGCTAAAGAGGTCTATATCCAACCTCGTCCCCAGTGTCTTCTTGGTTTCCGAAATGGCGGAAGAAAGTGCCCGGAAGTCTGATGACTGAAATTCTCGTTTTCCTCCATGTGGATAGTAAAAGACTTTTTCCTAGCATCAGGCCAAAAGAGTATGATATGAATACTTTTTACTGTGGGTTCTCAATTTTCCTTTCGAAAATGCCAGACATTCACGGAAGAAACACATTGCTGTTTTAATGTAGAGTATTTTTACTTAAGTACGTCGGCATGCACATCAAAACATTTTAGAGTCCTTTGAGTACTCAACAAATTAGACATAGATAAAATAATAATTACTGTCATTAAATTTCAGAAGTTGTGGCCCTTTCTCTTAGACTTTTCTCCTGTTGTTAAAAATTCCCTCATAGTTTCAATGTTATCAACTCAATACTATTTCCCGTGTCTTTTTCAAATGTATATTGCTTCCGGTGTACTTACCGGAAATAAACTTGTCATTACTACTTAGTTGACGCAAGTATATCGAAAGTGCGATCAATATATTTTGCTATGAAACGTGACAGGATTTGTCAAGAACAATGCAGACGTGAAATCGCGCGAGTGGGAGGACCTCTTTTTCGGGGTTCTGGCCCCACCTCTGACTTACCGTATGAGCCCGCGCATTCTTGCACCTCCGGTTCCTCGCATGCAAATGAAGTGCCATCGCATCCTGACATTCTGGAAGAAATACGTTTTGATCATGAGCGAGGGAATCTGGCCTCATTTCTAAATCTGTAGTTTTCTTTTAATGCCTGAAGCAGTGTTGTTGTGATCGTCAAAATGACCTGGGGTAAAGAGCTTTGGGTAAGTAGTCGTATCGCCGACTGCTCGCTTGTTTCTCCCACAGCTTGTTTCTGGCTTTTATCCGACTTCATCGGCTGCGCGATATCCATAATTTGTCAGTAAAGTGTTGTAATATTGCCATTGCTTACTTTTCGCTTCTAGGACCAATTTGATCTCATAGCTAACCACACAAACGCTGGAATCGATTTTGTGGAAAAGATTTCAAAATTCGTGAAGGAGAGATGCGAAATCGAGACACGATATGCGAAGGATTTACGGTGAGTACAAGGCTGGCGGAATTTCAGTTTACATCTCCTCAAAATCGAAATAAGTCATACGCCATTAAGAACAGCTGCCGTTTTCCCTCCTCTCCGATTTTTTTACTTTTAAGACTTAACGAAGTGGTGAGAATCTTTCTTCATCTTTTACGTTCATATTTGATTTTGCCATTGTTTTACATGAGCATGTTTTCTCACACACAGCTGATTGGTCTGGGTCATTACTTTACTATCAATAAATATTATTGAAGTTTTCACGCTTGCTTTTTTTCACTTAGTTTACTTAAGTACCTTTTAGAAATATTTTCTTTGTTTTTTCGTAATTTAATAGAGTATTTGCGATTTCTATATCTAACAAGGGAAGCCATGTGCGATGGATCGAGCTTTTGGAAACAAACAATTAGCCCAAATTTTATTGTTGATAGGTAACATTTTCAGCTATCATATTTCATCTAACACAAAAATTTTGCCGTGTTGTGATTCAGAAACTACTGATTTTCATGCTCATTTAAGGAGAAAAGCTAAAAATTGTTTTCCAAAAAACCAACCAATGTGACAAGCAAAGACGAAGTAAACATTTGGGAATTTTTTTAGCAGTATAAAGGAATTGCTATTAGCATGTCAAGAATATGATGTCTAAATGTATATTGTGCGCATAGTAAAATGGTTCCGAATTTACAAGCAGCTACTCCCAAGCATTTCTTTGACCTTGAGCAAGTGATTAAATACATGTTTCCTCATGTTACACCTCTTAATTTGATAAGGCTAAACACAATTTGTACTTCTCACAGTTTATTTCCTCCTTGCATGACCCAGGTGTTTAAATGGCTGATAAATTATATTGTTTCAAATTTTAAATTATCGCATGCAAATTTTATGCACCATTAATTAAAGCCTGTTCTTTTTTTCATGTCGATATTATTTTGAGGGTTAACTAGTAAGTTATGCTCACCCTGGCACAAGGAGCAATGACGATGATGATGATGATGATGATGATGATTAGAATGCTTTAGACCTTATTTCCTCCCTCATTTTTGTTACTTACCAACCCTCAATACCCTTTATAGGAAAAACAGAAAAACAGCCATTCATTTAAAATTATCCACAATTCTGGAAATTTTGTTTTCTAATTACGTAGTTTTTTATGTGCTTTTTGGTGACAGTGGGGAGGCTCTTTATGGGTATTTCCAAAATTGAAGTGGTGACGGTCATTCTTCAAGAAGCAATGGTCTTAGAGATTAAGGCGACAATAATATTTATTGTATTACCCTTCTGATCAATTTTGACAATGTTAGTCGTGCAAAGATGGAAAAGAAATCTGCCCAAAAGTGCTTTGCTTATTAAACCTGTTGCTTTTATTATTGTTTTGTTTCCATCATTATTGCTGTGGTTGCTTGAGCTTGCTAGTAGCTTTATAAACAGGGTGTATGTGAGGATTTCATAAAAAACCCAATGATTTGATGAAAAATGGGTGACAAAATTGGCATCCACAGGTACCCATTAAGGGGAAACAAAATAACATAGGGTTGAAGTAATCAGGGCAAAATAAAATTAAATCATTCATAATAATAATAATACTTCCAATATTTATCCTCAGCAGTATTTATAGCACTAATGCTAGTGGGGCTGAGCAAATACCTAAGACAAATAATCAAAATCAAACTTAACAGAATCCCAACTGGCCAGAGGCAAAACGGTTGGCTATTATTTTACAAGCATGGCCGAGGACTTGAACTCGGGACTACCATGAACAAATCCAGCTAGTGGTCAGAGCAGGACTTGAACTTGGGGCCTCTGATTTGCAAGTCCAGCGCTTTAACCACTGGGCCACGCTGCCTCTACTGTGTGCCTGACTGGTGAGCAGTGGTTTCTCTTGCAAATACTACTTGTATGCTACACATAAGTCTTCTTGCCAGCTAGCATTCAGCAAAGAAACTACTCCTTGCGAGTTACTTAAGGTCATTTGTTACCTGCGGGTGTTATTGTTCAGTGCTCTAAAGAGCTGGTCAAAAATTTATTTCTTTTAAGGGGGGCAACTCAGCTTACCCACAGGTCCATTTAAGTTGATAATGCAGTTAAATGTCAAAGATACTTGCTCCCAAATTAGTTTGACACCTGAGAACTTGTTGCACTCTTATATGACATGAATTTGTCACAATGAAAAAAACTGAAAATGATTCAGTTTCCAACTGTTTTAAAACATTTTAAGGAAAGCTAGAAACCAAAATAAATTGTGAACGAAATTGAAATTATGTTATTGGAGCAGCGTTCTTTGGAAAATTTAGAGAAGGAGACAAAATTAAAGTAGGTGACAATAAAAAAGGGCAGTTGTTCACATGTGGGATTACTATTGTTATTATTATTAT